GTGATCATACCTTTGATTCATCTTATATTGTTGTTTACTTTTGAAATTGTGTGTCTTGTTGATGTTGTACATTCATTATGTTATGTGTTTAGTGTACTTAGCTGCAATAGTTCTTAAACTCTGTAATGTTTTATTTTACAAATTATGACTGTGTTACCTTACAATAAAAGATAAGGGTGATATCCAAAGGTCAAGTTCCTACATCAGTGTCATGAACCTGAATTTGCCATATTACAGCTAAACCAGCCTCATCACATGTAAGTTTCTATGTTATAATTGGAATGAAAGAAAAAACTTTGACATTGGATGAATATTCAGTTCTTCTGTAGATGGAGGTAAGATGTTTCGCCAAACCAAGCATATCTGTCTACCAAACTACATTATGTCACATAAAATAAGAGTGTAGTGTTGAATATTCACCACCAGAAAAACCTCAAATGTCATACAGAATAAGTAAGTTATGATATCATGGCTTATTATTTGCACAACTAATGCTTATGAAACAGCTCTTATCACAAGTCATTTTTGCCATTTTGAAGTTAGAGATCTCCATTTATTTAAGAGCATGTTGTCAAATGCATAGACTCAACAGCATTGAATATGAAAGTATCTAATGATTATGAACAGTTAATTAAGTAGGCCGAAGGAAGTAACCATAGCCAGAATTGTTTGGAAGGACTAATCTGTGATGTCAATGATACACAGGAATTCTAATTACTTTACTATCATTTCAATGCTGACAAATTATTTATTGTATAAAGTTCACAGTTCCTGAATTTACTCATTTTGATAAAATCTACACAGCCTATCAGCCTTGTCAAGTGGCTAAAAATTTCTGAAGTTTCAGGAACCATCTCTGTCCCCATTATCATGGCTTCTAGCTGATTGCCCTATGTTGTCAACATCTAACACTGTATCTCATATGAAAACACTGCAAAGGTTGTGGGACTCCCTTGAAAACAGCTGTGAAGGAAGACTAAACTTTCTAGGGGTTGCAGCTACCATTGGAGTGGTCCTCTTTAATCTTCGCATATTTTGACCCACTTCTCATCCATCCTCTGTAGAATACATGCACCATCAAATAAGAAGTACAAGTGCTGGGTCTGAAACCAGCTGATCCTTTGTTAGATCATAAAGAGCACAAGTTTCAGAGTGACATCAGTCAGTTAAAGAAACAGTCACAATTATTAGTCTTTTGAACTCTGTCCATCATCCATTCCAAACAACACTAGAAAATGCAGTGTTTTCCGGAACCAGACTTTTTTCCATCCTCAGATGAGGGAGGTAGACACCTCTGTTGCATTGATCAGAAACTTCAATCAGTGGCCAACCTGTGTCAGTATATAAATATCTCAGACCAAGCTTTGTCAATGGGAGATAACAGAAAGAATTGTGATAAAGCATGCACAGACCTGAAACTAAGACAGAAAAGGAGGTGGAAATTTTATACAGCAAACAAAGTCCATGAAAATCAATTCATAGGATTTACTGGAGAATTTCATATTTTGAAACTTCAGCTTTTTTTTTTTTTGCGTACCGCTAGCACCATCTGTGAAATAAAAGATAAACCCTCAAGACTAAAATCTTATAGAAACCCATGAAGAATCTATCAGATCATACTGATCTTCCCCATGAGAGTTGCTAACCTCATTGCCGATAAGGGGAATCCAAATTTGAGGAATGCCCAAACTGGGTTGGCTGATCAGATTAGTTAAACATACCATACGGGCTGATTCCTTGTATTTCCTATACCTGCTGTTACTTCCAATTTCCACAATCCTAGCTTCATTCCTATGATCCTATCCATAGGCACGTTGTGCTAATTTTAATTTATCTGGAAGATCTCCTCTGAGACTGTGCTTATGTTCATGAAGCCCCATGGCTAGAGTTCTGCCTGTTTTGCCAGCGTAGCTTCTGCCACATTCACAGGTAATGCTACAGATGCACTGTGCTGTCTGCTGTAGATCTCTTTCCAGTCTTGTTTCCATGAGAGAACTATTAAGTGTGTGTTTAGTTTTGATGATCATCCTAATGTCATAATAATTCCCTATATGTATGCACTTTTCTAAAACACCCTTCACATATTGGGCATACACAAGAACACAGGGATATTTCTTCTTTATTTGGACCTCTATCTAGCTATGAATAACTGAGTTAACGAAAAATTGGATATAACCACTGAGCTGAAAATCGTGTCTAGGGTCACCTCCTTTTCTTAGTTTCAGGTGTATGCATGCCTTATCACAATTTTTATTGTACATTTTTCCTGTAATCACCCACTGATAAAGCCTGGTCTCAGGTATTTATATAGCTGTAGTTGTACTGACACAGGCTGTCCAGTGACTGAGGTTGGCTCTTTCTAATGGACCCAACAGAGTAGGTGTCTCCCCCTCTCATCTGAGGACAGAAACAGACCTAATTCCTGAAAAGTTGTGTTATCTAGTGTTTTTTACAATACGATGTGATGGACAAAGCCCCCACAAAAAATTTAAATTTAAATTAAAATTTAAAGAAATTGTGTTTTTCAAATGGAACTGGGATTGAAACACAAAAATTGAGAAATAAAACCAAGTTATAAGATAATCTTTGAATTCTGATTTTCTTAATTATAAAGAAAATTTGATGAAGTAATTGCAAGACTTACACTGAATATGAACATTAATCAACATAACATAATTCATCCTGCCTCTTTTTCTTGTTATTTTTCAGTTCCCACAAAAAGAATATTATGCCACAAATACTCATACACATTCTGCACAACAATACACATGAACTGACATCTTTGTCTATAGTACATGCATGACAACTAAAGTATATTTTATTTTGAAGTATCACTTCGAAAACAGACGATATAATCACAACTTCTGGCTTTAATGCAGTGACTACATGATCCTGTTGGTAATATGAAAACACTAATTCCAGTAGGGCACCTTTATAGTATGGAGATTTCAGATGAATAAGGGAGGGGTGAAGACCTTTTCCTGGATTTGAGTACATGTGATATGAAGTAAAGGATTCAAGTGCTTTATTAAATGTGTACATTTGGCCAATGGTTATGAAACATGGTTCCCTTCCTGTGACTGATAAACATAAATTACATGTATTCAAAAGCAAAGTGCACAGGAAAACATTTGTCTCTCAAACAAATTTAGTAGAGGAATGGTGAAATGGCAAAATGAAGAATTTGTGAACATACAAGTAATCCAGTATTGTCTGGGAAATGAAATTATGATGGACTGAACATGTAACATGAATAAGGGAGACAGATGCACGCGTAATATTGATAGCACACTGACCACTTGGAAGACCATGGAGATGAAAAGAAAGTATAAAGAAGCTTATGGAAATAGGATCTGAGGATGGGAGGTCAGTATGGCTCAGGATCATATCCACTAGCAGGTTTTAGAATTAGCAAAGTTAACCTTTGGGTTCTATCATCACATAGTAACACTGCCCATATTTTACATAAGACAGTGTACGTTACAAGAGTTTAACAATGCACAGAATTAGTCACTGCTGACCAATTATGGTGTTAATCAGACCTTATGTGTATCATTATTTGATTATTCAGTAATCATTATAGGAGACAAACATCAGACTTTGTTGGGAATTGAGCCAACTTTCTTTATTGTTTGCAACCTGCTGTGTTATCATATACAGTTATCTTAATGTACCAGTCAACATAATTATATAATAAATAAATCAATACTACTGCATTAGCACTTATTTATTGCGTGGAAGTATTGCCACATGTTTCAACCTTGACAGGTCATCATCAGGCAATCATTACATGAATGCCACTTGTTATTGGCTTATTTACCGATACTGATCCAGCCCAGTAATTTATAAATTTTCGTTCAGGTTGCATTATAATTTTAACTGTTAAATTGCGCGTAAGGCTGATGACCCCACCACCATCTGTGAGCCAGTTGTCTAGAAAATATGGGAGCTTCAACGTCTCACAACCCTGTGGGCCAATAAGGCCTGTTGCGGGGATAGCTTTACTTTAAATTATAAATTTTGTTTGAAAAATAAAATAAAATTCCAATTAGCATAAACATAAAATTTATAATTTTTCTGATTATTTTTCTGGTGTAATGGTGTATGTCGTATAGTATGGGGCTTTCTTAGGAGTCGGCGTTATTCTTTTTAATTCCTTATCATATCTGAAAGCAAATTATTGATGTATTATTTTGTTTAAAAATTCATATTACCATTAAAATTTAAAATTGAAGTTATTCTGTTACTTTTGTCATTGATATATGGGGCCTTCCTTGGAGTCGATGTTGTTCTTTTTAATTTCTTAATGTTTCTATAATATTGTGTGATCTTTTATGTGATGATATATTCTATTATTCCTTCACAATAGTCTGAGCGACTAGGGTGGAACTATTTAGTGTGTTATGTTGTATCTTATATGGGAGTGTCCCATCTTCCTGTTATCATTCCCTCGATGTGGTTCTGTCTGTACAGTACAGACAGAACCACACTGAGGGAACAACAACAGAAAGATGGGGCACTCCCATATAAGCTACTGTAATAACATTTTGCCCTAATCTTTTTCCTACATCTCAGTGTTCAAACACAAGGGTGTTGCACTAAAAAGAGCCCCTACACCCATTCCAGTGAAAATTTTCTGGCTGATATCAGTGGAGAAATGAAAAAGGGAATGTTTAAGATTTTTCCACTCATTTGTCACGCAACTAGCAAATCACCAGTTACACTCAGGTCAATGAGGTAAGTAAAAGTAATGTTCCTTGTTCTGAATATCCAGTGCCTTCCTTTCTGATAGCACATTATTTTAATACTGCATACAGCTTATATGATGTAAGATTTGAGGCTTTCACGGCGGTGACTATGAAGAAAGCAGTCTTCTGGGATTTGGCACCGTGTATATGTGGTGTTAACCGACGTTTCGGAGGAAGCAGACTTTACCGTTTCTCACGGTGTTGTCGCTTGCAGATTTCTTATACTTTTTCTTCTACCCTGAAGATGGGGGCGATACGTTCCTCCGAAACGTCGGTTAACACCACATATACACGGTGCCAAATCCCAGAAGACTGCTTTCTTCATCAGCTTATATGATATTAAGTACAGTCAGATGATTGTTTCATACAGTAAAATGGAAAGAATTGAATGGAACAAGTTGTGGTCTATTTTAAAGATAATATATCAACAGTCACCTGATGGACTGAGGAAAGGCACTGACCCTTAATCAACATACTCAGTGACCTGGCAATGACACATGCCAGGTCCCTACTATGTATACATGAAACATGTTCTTGTTTCAGCTAACATGCTCACTCTCTCTTAAAGAAGCAGAGGATATCTACAGTGATGAGTGTAAATATCTCCTAATTTATTTTTGTATGACTCGCAAGCACCTATACTGCTTTGTGGCATTTCTTCCTGTCCCCCTTGGCTCTATCATGTACTTCACTGAGCAGCTCCATCTTGTTTAGTCATCCTTGAGCATAGTCTATAGCTGGTGGCCAGTCAAGTTCTATGTCCTGAAACAAGAAAAATGAATCAGTTTTTATTAATGTTATCTGTACTGAACGACTGCTATCACGTGATTTAATGTTGTGACTAATGCACCAAAAATTTAAAAATTGAGAATTTAACAAAACTTTATATATATTGTGACATGTCAAACCATTTTTGGGAAATGGGATGTGGAACGAGTTACCACAAAGACAGACTCTTGATGAATGGTTGTTTGCCAAGGTATGCAACAATAAGGAAAGCAGTGTTTCTCCATGCCGAGCTGAGCCAAGCCGAACAGTGCTGGTTGCTACGCAGCAGTAAACAACTCTTAGCAGCACTGACAAGCCACGCCTCTGTAAACACGGCGGTTGGACAACAGTGAAGCAAGCTGCGTTTTCCGCTTGTCCGATCGAAGGTTTTAAGAGAAACTGGAATAACTAAGGAGCCAGTATTAGTGAGTATTAGGCAGAACAGAAGTCAGTCAGTTGCGGGAAGAACTTAACGCGTGTTTAGAAGAGTTTATGTGTGATAATCAGTGATAGTTTGTGATAACTGAGAAGGCATTGGGTATTGGGAATGTGTAATTCAGTGACACTTGTATAGCTCCCGTGTTATCCTGTAAATAAGCGAAGACTACTGAAGACAGAGTGAATAGATTAGTGTGTAGGGCTTGTAAATTGTGTAAACCTGCAACAGTGTTACAACTGTAGTTACGACTTGTAGGTTGTTAATAAAACCAATTAACAATCCGAACGGCATCTTCAGTAGCCAAATATGCTACTATATATATATATCAGATACACTTCTGGTAGTGACAGTGCTGAGTTTAGCATATGGACATTTTAGAAATAGTAACAAATGCATCTTCAAGGAATCAATGAAGATCCACGCTCCTTGCAGAATTCAGAAAATATCTTGATGCTCTACCTGTACATCTAATGCCAATATATCTACATAAACTCCCCCAAGTAGCTGGCCAAGGCTTGGCTGTGTTCGGCCAAAATCTCCATGCACAAATTCCTTGATGTAAGTTCCAGCTTGGGCCTTGATGTCCAATTTGAACAGGGTCACATTTTCTGCAAAAGACAAATTTTATTATTTCTGTTCTGTGCTTAATTCAGAATCAGCATCATATGAAACATGGTACAGTACTGCTGTGTACTCTACTTCAGAGAGAGGGCACAATATCCACATCTATATTTCTCCCACACACATGCATTCCCACAGAATTCCAGAGCATGTGTCAGAATAAAATTATCATTTTATACTTGACATGACAGCTGGCTCAGAAGCATCACAGTGAGTTCAAAATGTTCAGTGAAGTACATTAACATAAAATTAAGGCTGAAATGAAATTAATAATAACTTTACCTTTCTTACAGAGTTTTGTTTGGTTCTCAAGTAGCCATGCTTTCATGGAATGAACTATTCTGGAGCGAGTTGCTAGTGGTCGTCGGTGTAGTACCCTGATTGGTGTCTTTTGGCTCAAAGTAAGATCTTTAATGTTACTAAGTTCTGCCAAAGATCTTGATTCTATTGGATCAGAGCAGATGCACAGAGCCATGTAACGTTTAGTTTTCTTCTCTTCGCCTGCTTTCAAGTTCACCAACTCATCTCTGAGACAACATGAGAAAAAACTTCTATTGCTGATATAACAAGGCCAAAACAAGCATGATATACCTTGCGCATGACACGCAAAGAATTAAATTTGGTTTGAACATGCCTGTAATTCTTGTTTATGATTTGATTCTTCTGAGTGTTCTGAATGTTTCATATATAACACACTGTCACACTTCGAGGATGTGTGTCAAGCTGTATCTGTATCTTTATTTTAATTCCATATATCCTTACTAGCTACAAAAGCCATCAGATACAGAACACGTCATATATGAATACATTAGTCCTGATCACAGAACTAGTCACCTTACAACTACATTCATAAAAGAAACAATAATTACACATAAGTCAGTAATTTAACAAGCATATAGGATTCATCAACTTGACAGAAATACCTTACTGAGATCATAGCTTAAATATATAAAAATATATCAGATTATAATAAATTAATTTATAAAATGTACTATATTAACAGCATTATAAAAGGTTGATATCTGATAAATAGTATGTATTTTACCTAAGAATGTTTCATTGTGCAATTATTCATCTGTAAGTTTATACAGTTAAGTTAAACCATCACAACAAAAATGTATACTTGATTTAATGTTATATAATTAAAACTTTTATTTCTGCTACATGTTTCAGTCACATAGGACCATCATCAGGCATTAATATAGGAATATGTCTAGTCACTGAATTACTAATATGGATCCATAAAAGCGCAATGTGCCATACTATATAATAACAGAATTTGGCTCAGGTTACATTATAAGTATTACAATTCAGTCTCTACAATCTCTGTAACAAATGGGTGGTATTACAAGCTTCCTTTTCTGTACAGCAGGGAGTAGGCACTATTACCTGTTCTGGCTTCAATGAGCAACTCATCTTTAACTTTGATATATCAGATTTCTTCATCATCTGGGCTTACATTTAGTGCCAAAGAGGCTCTTAGGAGCCATAAAACATCAACTATAGGGGCTGTCATTTCTTCCTCCAGTTGTGGATCTTACACAGGACTGATAACCCACCCACACAAAATTCTGTTATTCAGTTCCTTCAGATTAAAAGCTGCTTAAAAATAATGGAACATAACCAAGAAAGATAAAAGGATTATAACCAGGGCCCGGATTCTGATGACGTGTCATCTTTCTTTCCTTGTATCCAATGCGATGCTCTTAATTATATAATCTCGGATATGAGCTGCTGGTTACAGAAATGTATATTTTATAGGTAATTTCTTGTCATTTTTTTTACATTTTATGGCTTAAGGTCATTTTTTCATTTTGGGGGTAATTTTTTGATCTTTTAAGGGTATTTCTTGTCATTTTTGGCCATTTTAGGGAATTTTTCTTCATGTTTTCTAAGCGCTCTCTACAAAGGCCATAGTATACAATAACAGGTTGTAATCCTGGCCCATCCTTTCCGTTCATTTCATGGAAGTGCTGACAATACATATCATAAAACAGGGTACGGCAATGACTACTCACACTGCGGCTCTTTGTACAAAGCAATGTGCTTAGTTACACATATTTCTAGTCAGAATCTCTTGCTTCATATGACATTGTTGTTCAATAAAACTCCTTCTATCTTCAGTTCCTCGCCCTTGACTGTACAGATAAAGATACAGTTGACGAAAGGTTCTCGGTGAGAAAAGTTCAGTTCTGTGTCGCGCTAGAGTGATTAATTTTATCACGATGCCAAAAGCAAAGCCATCTAAATTGTGTCATTTAAAACAATTTGTAGCTGAGTTTGGAGATGATATATTTTCAATTGACGGTGACATTTAAAACTGCAACATGTGTGACACAAAACTAGCGGCAGAAAAAAGATTCACAGTACAACATATCGGCCGTGACAAGCATATACGAGCAGTGCAAATTTCGAACAACAAGAAACCCGTGCAAATGTTACTGCAACAGTGTTCATCTGGAGGTGGAAATAAGTCATTGGATTTTTTCAGAGATCTGTGTGATGCTCTGGCGTCCGCAAATATTCCGTTTTGGGCTCTGAACAATGGAAAACTGAAAAATTTTCTGGAAGTAAACTGTGGTCGTTCCATCCCAGATGAATCCACAGTCAGGAAGAACTACCTTTCCAAGTGCTATAACAGTATCCTGGAAATGATTAGGAATAAAGTGCATGGGAAGATTTTGGTTTCCACTGATGAGACCTGCGATACGGAGGCTCACTATGTGGCGAATGTCATCATTGTAACCTTGGAAATTGGCGGACCAGGTGAAGTGTTTTTGCTTACGAGTGAGGTAATAGAATCCATTAAGCATTCCACAATTTGTAAACTCTTCGACAGGTCAATGTTTCTACTGTGGCCAGAGGATATACAACACGACAACGTCTTGCTTTTTGTGACCGATGTAGACCCATATATTGTAAAAGCAGGCAAGTCAATAAAGTCGTTTTATACGAAATTTGGTGCGCATTACTTGCCTAGCTCATGCACTGCATAGAGTGACATAGGTAGTGAGATCAAAATTTCCTTAAGTGGATGCTCTCGTGTCGAGGACAAAGATTTTCGTCAAGGCTCCAGCTCGTAAAATGCATTTTATGTCTATGGCTCCTGGTGTTCCACTGTCCCCGGAACCCATCATTACAAGGTGGGGAACATGGATTGATGCTGCAATTTACTATTGTGATCATTTTCAGGTAGTGTAAAACATTGTAGATTCAATGAAGATGGAGGATGAGAGGGCATCTGAAGCTGCTGAGGAACAGTTCTCATACATCGAAATGGAAGGACAGCTGGCCTTCATAAAGGCAAATTTCAGTTCCTTGACAGAACGAATCCAATGCTTGTAGGAGAAAGGAGCAACGCTAGAAGATTCACTCACTCTGGTGAATAAAATAGCCAGTGATTTGGAGAAAGTGTCAGGGGACATTGTTAAAATGGTGTCAAGAAAAATGAAAAGTGTTCTGGATAAAAACTCAGGTTATGAAACATTATGCAGCATTTCTCAAATTCTTTCAGGAGAGTCCTACAGCGCTTTCAGTATTGAAGAGCTTACTGCTAGTGATTTGGTATGCTTCCAACTACACTCCCATTGTGTCTGCAGATGTGGAAAGGAGTTTCTCCAAGTACAAGAATGTGCTGTCAGACAACAGGCGCTCTCTCACTTTCGAGAATCTCAGCATGTTGACCGTCATCTATTGCAACTCTGAATGAGGTAAGACTTAAATGTTGGAATATATACTGTATATATACATTTGATAAGTGTTCTAACATGATAGAAAAAATTGTACTAAAACATTTAGCTTCAAATTCAATCAATATTGCTTAATTTTCAACATAAAAACAAGGACGAACTTAAAAGAGTGAAAATGAGTTCAGTGTTAATAAAGATTAAAAACATATTTTAAAATAATTAGTAGATATTCTGACATATTACATTTTTGGGTCATATTTTAGATCATTTTTCTGGATTTTTTTGGCCATTTTTTAAATATTTTCAGGTTATCAAAATCCGGGCCCTGATTATAACATATTAAAATAATTGCATGAAGTAAAACACTGTCAAAATTTTCTTGATAACTTTCATGGTTCAACAGAAACATTGATGCAAAAATTATATTTAACATATTTTATTTTAATAAGAAACATACCTCTGAACTATCTGCAGGTCACGGACAGCCACTTCCTTGCTACTCTTGTTGATGTCACATTCCAAACTGTGCACCTGTTCTGCAATGAACTTCACCCTGTGAGGGTTCAATAACTCACAAACAAATGGTCGCCCTCGTCCCAGTGTCCTGACATCCACATCTTCACGGCCTGACGCTGAGAACTTAATTCCTATACATGTAAATGAATGAGCCCATCTAAATTATGGGGAAACTATATAAAAGAGACTTAGTTTTCTCTGTGTTTACTTCTAGACCAACCTCCTTACTTGTATCAATTAAAGTCTGTGTTTTTCATTATGGTATCTATATTATCACCTAGTAGATTCATATCATCAGCACAGACAAACAGCTGATACGTCCCATCTAATTTCAGTCCCACCTGGTTTTCCTGGACCTTCCTAATGGCATATTCTAAAGCAAAGTTGAAAATCACTGGTGATAAAGCATCTCCTTGTTCTTGACCGTTCTGGATATGAAATTTATCAGACAAATATTTATCTATATGGACTTTACTATAAGTTTCATTTAAGCACATTTTAATCAGCCTAATTAGCTTCATGGGTAACCCAAACTCTGTCAGGATATTGTACAATACTTCTCTCCTAACTGAATAATAGGCTTTCTTGAAGTCTATGAATAGCTTATGTACTGTCTCATTGTACTACCATTTTCTCTCCAGTATATGCTGAATGCAAAAGATCTGATCAGTACTTGATCTGTTATGTCAAAACCCTCACTGATTATCTCCAATAATTTCACCTATGTATGGACTTAACCTTGAGAGAAGAATATTGGATAAAATTTTGTATAAAGTTAATTGCAGTATAGAACCTATGGTATTCCTTCATAAAAACAAAATTACTCATTGCAATGGTCTGTTATGATAATCAATGTACTTCTTTAAATCTTACTGTAACAATGAAAACAAGACAACTGTAAAGATTACCTTCTGCCTTACTGGCAGCCTGAAGGTTCTCAGAGATGATTTCTTGCACTGAAGATTTAATTCTTCTTTCGCCATCAATAACCCAGGGTGTCTGGCTCAATGTTCGTGAAAACTTGTTGTAGCGACCTACATGAAGCGTACAAGAAAAACATGTAAATTTGTAACATAATAATTACTGTTCATATATTCTACATTTATCAGATCTGGAGAGAAAAATGGTAGTACAATGTGACAGTATAACAAGAAAGCCTATGATTCAATTAAGACACAAAAACTGCATAATATTCACACTGATTTCTGAACACCATGAAACTAATTAAACTAAATAACTTTCACTGTCCAGTAACAGGAGGTTTAATCTGCTGATACAATGATCCTGGCACCTCGATTTTAACTCCAAGGTAAAGACTATTTATGTTGTAAGTAGTACAATGCTAGTCTGCTGGATTCACTCATGTGCCATTATAGCTGGTGCAATGCACAAACAATACAGGTTAAAATGTTCTAATGAAACTATTCTGAAGATGGAGGCAGCAGGTTCCTCTAAAACGTTTGAAAAATCTCATAAGACTAAATGGTGTCATACTCCATAAGACCATAAGTTAAATGTTCATTGCCATGAAAACATTAAACTCATACAATTAACACCATGTTCTATATGTTTACTAAATATTTATTCATTTCATTTTAAAGTCTCTACAGAATGACAAAGAGAGTACATGAAGTCTGAGATAACAGTCTGACTACTGACAAGGTTAATTTGACATATCATGAAATAGTATGATTCTTGCTGGACTGAGGTTCTGCTTCTTGCTGGATTCTTATTTGGCTTACTCTTTAATCCCAAAGATGGAAACAGATGTTCCTCTGAAACACTGAGGACATCTATTGAAATGCATGACATTACAGTCCAGAAGACAGAACTATTCATAGTATGAGGCTTGAATCTTGTCCAAAGATTGATCTGGGTGAAGACACAGAGGGAGTTAAAAATTGTCCCAATCTGTGCTGAGGCAGGCATCCCACTGACACACCTATATGTATTCCCTACACAGAGACTCCCAGGGCTGCTGCTGGAAGCACTGCACAACAGCCCTGACATCTTTATCTAACCTGAATCTATGGCCCTTTAACTCTTTCTTGTGGGGGCCAAATACATGAAAGTCACATGCCAACAGATGCAGGGAACAGTCTACCTGCTTCCTCCACTTTTGCAACATTCTTGGATGTTACACTACCTTGGCCTGGCTATGCATAATCACTCATTCTCTGCTACCCTGAACAGAACTTCCAATTCCACTGGCTTTGAGACACAGAATTCCATATACAGGGTGTCCCAGGAGGAATGGACCAAACTTCGGGAGGGTGTTCCTTATGTTAAAGTATGCCGATATAACCCAAAACACCTATGTCCAAAGTTGAACGGTTACGGAGATAATGGCCAGAGAAGTGTCAAACTTTGACCGGTGTTACACACTTGTTGATTACAAAATACATATTAAAACTGGCAGGAATATGTGGATTCTGTAATGTTAATAATGTACGTAACATCAAAC